TCTTTTAATTAAAACGAAAATCCATGGGCAAGGTATTATCAACATTCCCATTTTATAGATGAGGAAACTGAGGCACAGAGGCATTAATAAAGTTGCTAGAAAGTAAGAGATTGATTTTTGCTAAGTGTATTTATCTACAGTTAGTAAACTTTGTGTGAAGGGGCTTTGTGTGTTTAGATTCAATGGGGGAAACCCTCCACTTTATTCTTTATATTAAAAGAAACTCTAAGTTCTTGAATTTTCTGAAATCAAAATTTGCCATATTCTGTTTCATTTCTTCACCGTATTGTGAGGCATTTACACTTTCTTTGTGAAGAAGGCAAAATGAACACATTCTACTCCTCTCATTCTATCACTTCCAGCACTTTCTCGCTCCCCTGTAATAACAGCCCCAGAAAGCAGGGCAATTTGGATCCATAAAAAGGAGGCACAAGAAAGCACTGAAATCAATGTCACTCAATTTTGGTGCAGACAGCAAAGTGAAGTAGGCCCTTTGCCCTCTTGAATAGTTTCCTCCCTAAACTTTTGATCAGAGAACTGGGCTCAATATTCTCTCTCCCCTAATTCTATATTAATATCCATTCTGGTCAACTTTCTACATGTGGGCTATATATAGTATGTCATGCCAAGGAGAATTATGGACTGAAACTATTTCATCTATAGAGTTTGGACACTACCTACATACCCTGAAGGTGGTAGGAATCGTTTCCAATTTCATAGCAGAGGAAAAGGAACATCAATGTCATTAACTAATGATACTGGTTTTGAGAGCCGGAAATCCCTACTCCCCTACTCATTTAATGCAGCAGCCCATTTGACCCCAGGCACAATGTATACCTGTGAGTTTCTACTGCCTCTTCCAGAAAGTGCTGACTGTGGAGAAACTTGATCAAAACATCAAAGATTACCAGAGAAGCTGCATCTGTGCCCTTCGCAACCATTGATGAAGTACCTTAACCTCGCCTTCTCTCGATGCCTTACATATGGTCATCTGTCTTCCTGACTACTACTTCATATGGCTTATTTGTAAATTCAAGCAAATGTGCTTCTGACTGGCACTGATACATCACTGATGCCAAAATATCAGAGAGGATGAAGCACAAGGACATATTTTTTGATTCACATGGAAAATATTACAGATTTATGGGGAAGTGATGACAATAGCCATTCCATGATATCTTCATATAATCAGTATCCTTCCATGCCTCCCTTCACCAGATTTTATGACCTCAAAACTTATTTAAAAGAATTACTCTCCTGCTGACCTGAAAGACATAGTGGGGAGGTGTGGGGATGGGGCTGGGTGCCTGAACCACCTAGCTCTGACTTTTCATGTGCTGAATTTCCACAGTGTTCCAATGACCACTTACAGAGCCATAATGCACAGAACGTCTACTGATGTCCCATTGATATCGATGTGATTTCCCCCAGTGGATTGAGGCCAGCACAGCATACAGCCATTAGTATCTAAAGGTTATGTATAATGGATAATAGAGGAAAATGAAATAGCAGAAAGGAATTTGCACGGGAAACAGAAGCAGTAAATAGTTTCAGTGTAAGATTTTACTTGGGTTATACAGCAACTGCAAAGGGGGGGATTGAAAAAAAAATGATGACTCTGACAGACTCAGCAAGAGCTGAGAGTGAAATAGTTTCATATTTGGAAATGTAATACTTTTTTACTTTGACTACAGAACGCCATTTAAAAATCATCTTGTATGTTACAGTTCTTAAGTGACATCATTCACCTGCCTGCTTGCTGAGGAATCCTTACCCTATCCTCCTGAGGTGGCTTGCAATATGGCAAAGACGGGGTAAATCGAGGAAGAGACTTTAATTGCCCTATCCAAAGTCAAATAATGTCCAGTTCATGATAGAAAAAAAAAAGTTATGGTATTTGCCATTAACATCTCATTTTGAACCAATTCAACCCACTGTGCTAGCACTTAGCCTGATAGTTCTACATCTAAAATAGCTCACAATAAATGATTTGAACAGATATCTTTCGCCAATCAACAAAGCTTAGCTGCACACACCGTTGCAATGGATGACCAGGTAAATGTAGTTTAATTTGTAATTTAATAACGACAAAATTGGTGGATCTGTTTACTAGACCAAGAAGTCAGTGAGCTACAGAGTTTGCTGCCGTGCTGGAGGGGCAGCAAAGCCTAGTACCAAAGAGGACTATGTGCTCTGCAGTCAGTCCACTCTGGCTTAAAGCTCAGGATCCCCACTTTCTAGTGAGGTGACCTCTTAATCTCATTATGACCTCTACATGACCTCTTATCTTTGCTGTGCCTCAGTATGCTCACTTCTAAACTATATATAATACCGATACGTGCCCTTAAGGATTGTTGTGAGAATTAAATGAGCTAATACAAGTAAAATGCTTAGCATCAATCATTTTTGTCGACAAATTTTATTGATAGGATTGCTTTGTGCCAGGCACTGATCGCGATGCTGGGATACAGCCACAAACATGGTTAACTCTGAGAGCCACTGAATTTTCATAGAGAATAACAGGGGTGCCTGGGTGGCTCAGTCGGTTAAGTGTCCAACTCTTGGTTTCAGCTCGGGTCATGATCTCGCAGTTCGTGAGATCAAGCCCTGCATAAGGCTCTGTGTTGACTGTGCACAGCCTGCTTGGGATATTCTCTCTCTCTCTCTCTCTCTCTCAAAATAAATAAATAAACACTTTTTAAAAAATAGTGAACAACAGTTATAAAGAGAATGATGATAACAACAACAATAATAATATTTAACATTTATTGTATACTTACTATGTTTTGGGTACTATTCCAACTTCTTCTGTTACATTAACTCATTTAATTCTCATAAAAACTCTATGTTATAGGCACTATTTTAGGCCCATTTATCAGATAAGGAAATGGAGGCCATAAAATGTTAAATAATTTGCCCAAGGTAACATGCCTAATAAGGGGCAGAGGTCTCCAAATCCATGTTCATAATGACTGCACTATATTGCCTTAATGTCATGTCGATATCCTATGACATTGTTCACCCTATAAAAAAGGCAGACTTTGCAATGACTGAAATGTTCTATTTTCACTTATGAAATAAATAAATATATAAGCTAATTAAACAAGTCTCAAAGTATATAATAGAATTTTTGATACAAGGCCATCATAATAAATTTAAATGGAAACATAGGTTTGAACACCATATAAACCTATTAATAAAAAGCTTGCTATTATCTGGATTTGTTTATAGTGGGGTTATTAAGTCTTAGATCTAAAACATTATCTCTCTATACAGTAAAAGTTAATAGAAGATAATCCATAAGGTAAGAGTCTGTCTCATAATTGAACAAGAACATTTAAAAAGGCCTCTAATGAATTTAGACTTCTCAAATCACTCCTTGTTTTGAGTGATTCCATATTAAAATCATGTTTGTATTACAGTACTTTGTCATCCCCTAGCTTCATTCCTTCAGCATTATTCCTCATTACAGATTATTACAAACCAAATAAATATACATGTTGGGTTATCCTAAAATGTGATAAAAGACACAATTTTGATATTATAGGTAATATTATCCATATTCAATAGAAGCACCATTCAAATATATTCAGATTGTATGATAAAAATATAAAAGAGATAATCATGAACATCAATATACGCTATGTTCCTATACTGTTGACATTATCAGTGACTTCCCTACAAAATAAATCTATTTACTTAGCATCCCCTGTTCTATGACTCCTATAAAATCGGTTCTGTGAACTTTCTTATTGTTCACATTTTGAATAAATCTGAATAAACCAAACTCCCCTTATTGTTTATAATTTCAAGAAAGTCCAAATCTGTTTTAATCTACTTCTCAGAATCATATTCAGTGTACCTTCATGGGTAATTCTGCTTCAGTTAGGAAACCAGGTTAAACCTGAAAAGAAGTTACTAGTGCCATACCTGGGTAGAATCTTTCTCTACCATGATATTCTATTCGTTCTAGGAATAGGGCTTCCACAAAGTACATGTTTCTTAAGTTAATTTACATTAAAAAAATTTTTTTAATGTTTTTATTTTTGAGACAGAGAGAGACAGAGCATGAGCAGGGGAGGGGCAGAGAGAGACAGAGAGAAAGACACAGAATCTGAAGCAGGCTCCAGGCTCTGAGCTGTCAGCACAGAGCCTGATGCAGGGCTCGAACTTACGGACTGTGAGATCATGACCTGAGCTGAAGTCGGACGCTTAACCGACTGAGCCACCCAGGCGCCCAAAGTTAATTTACATTTGAGACTGCAGAACCACTCAAGCAAGGAAATTAATGTTCAGTCAAAATAAAATGCCACCCAGAAAAATCAATACAATTTAGTATCAAGTGAGGGGGACTTTAATCAGGGTGACTCCAGAACAATATTTTTCTTAAACGTGGCAAGAGTGCCTCAAGACTGTTTTCTCCTTTACCGCCCCAAACACAGTATCCATACAATTCTGCAAGCCATTTACCTTGTGAAAAGAAGAATACATTTTTTAAATCTCGGTGTAAAACTGAATTCTTGGGAAGAAATTATGTGCTGGATTTTCTGATAGCTTCCAAATAACTACTACTTTAATGAAATTGCTACCTGAAAATCTGGTAGCAGTATTATTGTTTAACTATAATTTAAGAAGCTATTGTAGATTGGTACTTATGACTTCTAATGAGAAAACCATAACAACCTTTTAATTGAAGGGAAAATGGTTAACTACAGTAATTGCAATCAATAAGACTGCATTAGTAGCATAAATATTTCTTCTCAAGGAGCATTCCTTACTCTCCTCAGCAGTATTTAAGGTTAGGGAGTGCAAAAAAAACAAACAAACAAAAAAAAAAAAAAACCAAAAACCCACCTCATTAGAAATCCGTCTGTTATTTATAATACTAAGGCTTGGTTCAAATTTTGGGCCCCAGAGTTGAGAGAGAGTCTCCTCCCCCACCTCCACCACAAGCGAAACAAGACTTTGAGAAGAAAAGAGACATGGCAAAAAAGGCTTACCAATCACATAGGCGAGTAACAAAGCCAAAGTCACTGTGATTGCAGTGGCGCTCAAGGCCGTGCACTTCCAGTTGCAGCACCTGTAAGGTTTGTTAAAGGTAAAGGCAGGTCTGGAAAAGGTGCTTCGAGGAAGTGGCCTGGGAGGGGGCGAGTACACGGTATTGGACGTCAGAGGGTAGTTTTGACTGGCTGCACTGAAGATAGCTGAGGAGCCAGATCCATGTTTAAACAGGAAATGCCTGCAAAAAGGAAACAAAAAGTTTGGGCTATAAAACCAAAACCAGTTGTCACAAAGACACCAAGTACACGAATTTCAATCACGCTTTGACAAAGCTCAGGAGAACCTGCAGTGTCCCCATGAAATTGTCATATACCAACAAGTTAACTCCAAACTGCCTTTGGTGGTCTCCTTTTGTTTTCTCCATTTACACTTTTAGGAGGCAGAGAGAGGTCTTCTGTTCCCTGACTTGCTGGCTAGTGAATTTCTCAAACCCTTGAGTGTTAACGTTCCACGTTTGATGTTATTTGCTATACTGCTCCTTTTCATTAACTATGATACTCAAGAGTTGATTCAAAAACAGAAATATCATCTGGCATATTTGAAATCTGTCTTAGAAACCAGTATTTTATTTAGAGATTAGCTTTCACAGACATATTTTCAAGCAATATTCTATTATAAAAGTTGTCAAACATACAGCCAAGTTGAAAAAATTTTATGTAAACACTCATATACTCACCAATTAGATTCTACAGTAGACATATGACTGTACTAACTTTACCACATATTTCCCCATCTCTCTGTTCCTGTCTTCATCCATCAGTCCATCTTAGTTTTTAAGCACTTCAAAGTAAATTGCATACATCAGTATACTTCCCTTCATATATTTCAACTTGCATATTATCTGGAGTTCAATATTTTTTACAGATTTTTAAATATAACATTTATACATGATGAGTTGGACTCTTTTAGATTCCACATATAAGTGGTATCATACCATATTTGTCTTTCTCTGTCTGACTTATCTCACTTAGCATAATGCCCTTGAGGTCCATCCACGAACTCATAAAAACAGAGAACAGAATGGTGGTCACCAGGGCCTGAGAGGTCAGAGAACAGCAGGGATGTTTAAGGGCATAAACTTGCAACTAGTAGATAAATAATTCCTGAAGATATAATGTACAGTAGAGTCATTACAGACGACAATATTGTATTAGAATCATCAACCTTGCTAATAGAGATCTTAATTATCTCCACCACAAAAAAGAAATGATAATGATGTGACGTCATAAAGGTGTTAACTAATGCGACAATGGCAATCATACTGTAGTATAAATGGATCAAATCAACAGGCTGTACACCTTAAACTTACACAATGTTGTATGTAAATAGATTTCAATAAAAAATGATACATGATGAAATGCACAAATTTTAAGTGTACATTTGCTGAGATTTGACAAATGTAATCTCCTTTGCAACATAAACCCTTATCGAGATACAGAACACTCCCATCACCCCAGGATGTTTCCTCCTGCCTCTCTAAGTAAATCCTTACCCCACTTCCCCCAGACAACCACTACTTAGCATTTTTTCTACATGCATTAGTTTTGCCTGTTCCAGAACTTTGTGCTGCTGTCATGTTTGAATTACTACAGGATGATTATTGACTGCTCATGACTATTGTAATATAGATATTTCATAAACAGTAATGATTTATTGCCATGGAAGGACTTGCCAAAAACAAATACATGGAAGTATGTTTTCGTGCACATATTTTACACGTACTGAGTGCTGTGTGCCATGCATCGTGCTAAATGCTTCTCTCAGTCTTCACTCATAGGAAATAGGCTGCATTATGATCCTCATGGTGCATTTAAGGGCATGGAGGCCAAAAGGGGTTTAAGAAACTTGCCTAGCGGGGCCTGGGTGGCTCAGTCAATTAAGGGGCAGACTTGATTTCAGCTCAGGTCATGGTCTCATGGTCCATGAGTTTGAGCCCAGCATTGTCTCCGTGCTGACAGTGTGGAGCCTGCCTGGGACTCTCTATCTCCCTCTGTCTCTGCCCCACCCCTGCTCACTGTCTCTGTCTTTCTCTCGAAAATAAATAAATAAACTTAAAAAAAAAAAATTGCCTAAATTCACCTAGTACGTGAATGACAGAACCAGAATAGGAGCCCAGGTCACTCTGGCTCCAAAGTCCTTAATCTTAACCTCTCTCCTGTTCCACCAGGGCAGTAAAATGCACTGCTAAGCAAAAGACATTATGGTGCTACATTTTAATGTACTACTACAACACAAAACCCCTCCACAAAATAGAGAGCCAACATCACCTTGTCACATATGACCAAATGCACAAATCATTAAGCCTACATTAAGAATGCTTTCCAATTTCCAGTGTTAAAGAAGAAAAGCATATATGCTTAAAGGAGAAAAGCATATGTTTAAAAGAGAAAACAACTACCTAACAAGCCAGTTAATGAAAAATCTCCACACTAGAGGATTTTGCTTTAGTATCATGAGGGTAAAGGTTATTTAAAGGGCAGGGTTGCTGAGAATAGAACACATTCACAAGCCTTTCTGGAGGGCGATTTGGGATTATGTGTCAGAAGACTTTAAATATGCATATTCTTTGCTGAATAATTATGCCTAGAGGAATTTATCCCTAGGAAATTATGTGTCTGACAATTTCTGTAACAAGTTGTTCGTTGCAGTGCTATTTGTAATAGCACAAAATAAACACCTAAGTGCTCAATAATTGGTATTTGCTTAAGTAAGCTATTTTACAAACACATAGTAGAATACTATACAACCATCACAAATTGTGCTGTAAAAGAATATTCACTAGGAAAAGTGTTTACAAATATCACCAAGTGAAGAAAGGCAGCTTCAAAAACAGTATGGGCAACAAGATACAATTTTTAAAATAAAAAAAATATATGTTCATGGAAAAATAGTAACTTGGGTTACCTTTGGGATAGGAGTATTTTTTTTTTAATATATATTCTCTGCCTTGAGCTTACATTGCGTTTGTAACAAGTATCAAGAAGATGGGAGGTGGGGTGAATGGAAAAAATGCACTGCTTAACACCAACCACACCGTAGTCGGTTCTATTTACATAAACGTGATTTGCTGAGCACCTAGGAAGGCTAGACACCGAGGCACCTTATGTGCAATTTTTTGATTCTCATATGCGTATGAGGTTGATACTATTCTAATCTTACAGATGATGAAACAGACACCAGAAGAGGTTTAGTAGGAATAAAATGGTGGTAATAATAGTAGTTATCATAATAATGATAATAAGAGGTAACTTCATTAAGTGCTTACTTGTGCCAGGCATTGTTCTAAATACTTTATAAACTATTAGATCATTTATTCTTCCCCAAAACCCCATTAAAGGAAATATCTCCATCTACAGATGAGAAAACCAATGAACAGAGAGGTTCAGTTTTCCCTGGTCCCACAGTCAGTAAATGGTGAAGCTGAGTTTCAAACACAAGCAGGCTGGCCCCAAAGCCATTGCTCTCAACCACTACATGACACTACACTATACTAGGGTTATGCAGTTAGCGGACGTGGTAAGATAAGAACACACACCTGTTCGGACACAGAAGCAGCATGTGGATAATACTGAATTGAGTCACACTTTTACCCTGTTTCTCTTGGGACCAATGACAAGCGTGAAAATGCCGGCTACAGACTCACAGAGATATAAGGAAACTCAGTAATCTTCTAATAGCCCAAAGCCCTGATTTTGCAGTTAGCAAAACTGAGGCCCAGAAAATGAAATGGATTACCTAAAAGTAACATAGGTAGTTAATGGCATAAATGAGCTTGGAATCGGGGACTTTCAAAAGAGAGTGCTATTTCCATTCCCCTATGCTACCTGCTAACCAGTCTTCACCGGGTTACTACCAGGTTCTAATCTCTTGGGTTAACTGATCCAGGCCAAATACAATGTGCTCCGACAGTACTATGTAATACGTGTCTATTTTTCTTTATGTCACATGTTCTTACAGTAAATTTTAAAGACCATCTTAACTATTCTGGATGAATAGGGAAGCATTACAAAGAAGCTACCCTTTAGTTGTTAAGAACATAAAGGAGTTATTGCTGCTTCTCAGGGCACCTAATGTATCCCCAGAATGAAGAAACAGTATATAGTAGAAATAAGAATAAATATATTAAAAAAGTGACTCACAGCATTATGCTCCTTCCATTTAATTGTACTTCCTCTTTAATCCCTGAAATGGTCTCCTCCATTTACAAAGAGGTGAATTTCTTCTTTAATGCCTGCTTAGCTCTCCCAGGCTATGTTTTCCCCTTTGGCTATCTAATTTACTAGAGAGCAAGAAGTGTAGCACTTTAGAGACAGCAGAGTGGAGTAACCTCCCCATCTCCTCACCACGACCTGGTAGTTACTCTGGAGGTGACAAAATGTCACTTGGATATAACCAATCCTGCACAGCAACATTCTGGTATGTTCCTATGGGGTAAAAGGGAAACCCAGCAGTATGGGGTGTTTTCTCCACAGTGATTGGAGATAAAATCTTCGATCCTTTGCATATTTATGAAGGAGAACAATTGGATTTTAGAGACAATGTAAGTGGCCCCGTATGTTGGATATTGATTTGGTTTGGTATATCATTAAGGGGGAGAAGAAAGACAAAGAAAGACAGAGAATTGTTGGCTATTATGATGGCAATTACAAGCAATAATCAATATCCCTGAGCACTGTAATTTCATCGTGACATACACCAAAGGATTTACAAATGCAGTTTCATAAGTAAAATATTACAGCATAATGAATAAATTCAGCAGTCACAGCAGAGCAACATTTACACTAATTCGTATTTGAGTGGAATCCAAATCACAGTCCTCAGTGAGGGTAGATAATAAAATGAGTTCATATACTAAGGTTCCTGTTCTCTTATTAACAAGCTGAGATTAAGATTCCATGCTCAAGGAATCTATACTTTGATGTGCATCATGAAAAACAGCACTGCAAATGCTACGCATTGTCCTAGGCCTTGCAATCCATTGTTGGAAAGTGAAACTACTGCCGAAATGTGTTTTCATAGTCCCCGAAAAAAGTAGGAGCATAAAGACAAATGCGCAGTGCTAGACTTCAGCTATGTGCTCATAAAATCAGATCATCTGTCTGAGCACATTGCTTTTCCCTGGGGACCTGAGGATATACTAAAATGTTGCTATCAATTTCATACAATTGGGTTTTTTGC